TTGCACTAGAATGCCTGATGACGATAACTCCCCACGACCGATTTCCTAACATGCACAAAGAAACATATTTTGAACGCTAAGCTTACGAGCTCAGTGCCTCATTAAAAACTGTACTATATTATATGTATTCATTAAATATGTTAGTTGATGGCACATGCCAAGGGCATCAAAGATACTAGTCTCTACTATACTGTGGCAGACATCATGGTACGACTGAGGGATTCTGCATCTCGGAGATCACATACCCCTCTAGTCTACCTAAATACCCTAAGAAACTCTGGGTGAGATCCAGAAGCTGCATCGGAAATGTACACCCGACCAATTCACTCTGTCAAGTCTTGGGGCATCTGCGCCTAGCTTGCGATAAGTGATAATTGACTAAGTATCGATACCCCTATGGAGAGCATCGATATTGGTATCGAAACCATCCTAGGTATCGGTACCAAAATTTCCTACTGTAATTGCTAAGTGATCTCAGTATCGATACCACCCCATGAGTATCGAGACTGACCCTGTAGTATCGATACTCTATTAATGGGTATCGATACTCCATACTGAATTTACTCATTGTTTTAAGAACAGTATCAATATTGTTCTTCTAGTACCGATATCCTTGCTTGAAAATGCGCTGTTTGGGCACAAAAATGTTATATTTATACTCTAAAAGCCCTACTGAGGGTCCTAATTGCTTTTAAAGTATTGTGTATGATTAAAGGGGTCATAAAGAGGCTATAAACATATTGAAAACACCGATTTTGATTTCTACCATGAAAAAACCACTTAGCTCATGCAACCTACTAAACACTTTTAATTGACCTACATATAGTATAGTTGAGTCTTAAGTGAGTTACCTTTGATCAATAACTTGCTGGAAGTGCTCAAGGTTCAACCCAAGGTAAGCTTCTCCTTTCACTTAGCTTGAGAGGTCTCTCCAATTTCTCTCACTTGGAAATCCCGAACTAGGCTTGTAATCTTCAATATTCTGACATTTGCTAAGGTTTGGAGAAGAAGGAAATGAATTGAGAAGAAAAGAAGAAGGCAACCTTGGTGTGGTGAAATAGAGGAGAATAAATAGGCATGAGATCACCAATCTTAATTAGATTTCAACTTTAATTTTGAATAATGGTATAATTACTCCCTTGGTCTTCCTAAGTTTGGTTGTAAACTAAAAATACCTTTTTCATCAACTATTAGGCCCAATACAAGCCCAATTTCACTTATTCTTAGGTCAAGGCTTTCTACAACTATGTTCTTTATTTGAAGCCCAAAATGAAATAACCTAAAACTCTTAACCCAAAATTCAGGGTGTTACACCAAGTCTAGAAAAAAACCCCAAATTAACTACGATTTAGCTTAACTCAACAACGAGGAGCTATTTCCCAGCCCAGATTTCGAGCAAGATTTTAACTTCACGATGAAAAATATCAAGCTCGACGTCAATCAAGACTGAATTAGACCCGCAAAAGGGATTCATCTTATTTGACTTAAACCCGCAAAGGGGGAGTCATCCAAAAACTTAAGACTAGTTAAAACTGCAAAAGTGAGTTATCTCATTTGACTTAAACCCGCGAAGAGGAGTCATCCAAAAAAATCAAGACTAGCTTAGACATGCGAAGGGAAGTCGTCTCAATTAACTTAAACTTGAGAAGGGGAGTCATCCAAAAAAATCGAGATTGGCTTAAACCACGAATGAAGTCGTCTCATTTGACTTAAACCCACGAAGATGAGACATCCAAAAAATAAAGACTGGCTTAAACCACGAAGAGGGGTCATTTCACTTGACTTAAACTCACAAAGGAGAGCCATCCAAAAAACATGACTTAAACCCATAAGGGGAGTCACCCAAAGAATCATTTCACATGACTTAAACTCGCGAAAGTGAGTCATACGAAGCACATAACTTAACCCACGGAAGGGAGTCACCTACAACTCGACTAAACTCGTAAATGAGGAGTCAACCTCAACTTCATTTCCTTGGATAGAGGAACTAATTATCCAAACTAACTTTGATATTCACAGACACACTAACCAATGGTTATGTTGGCTTTTTCATATTCAACTACCTTGGGACCAAGACGAACTAGACACAAATTTTCAAACTCATCTACTTGAAGATGTAAACAAGCCCTTATAATGGACTCAAAAAGGCCCAATCAATCTTGAAGATGCATATAAAGTGGAAGAGCATATCGACCGAAGGTTAAAGGAAAGCAACAACACCATAAAATGAAGTTATGTCAACCGAACAAAAATAAGTTATTTTTTTTATCTTTGCTCTATTCGTGTTACATGCCAATGAGAAAAGAGGGGCAACTTTAATACCCAATTTTTGTTCGACTTACCTTTTTCCCAAGGCCCAAAACATTTTATTGAAGTCGATATTGAAGTTTGGGACATTATCCGACTTGCAACAAATTTTCAAGAAATATCCAAACATTTTCAGGATATGATGTCTTCTTAAGATAGAACCGACTTTCAGTTATCTTTCCAACACATTTTAAAACGCCTCAATCGAACATCGAAAACTCAAGATATGCTTATTTTAGCGAAGATAATGCGTGTAGAAAACTAGATACGGGTCCAATACGAAAATTTTATTTTATTTTTCAAAATTTTAATTATTTTATTAATTATTTTATTAATTATTTGTGAATAAATTTCAACTTTATAATTTTCATTATTTATTTAGGGAAATTTAGGATCTTTTCATTATGTTAGTTTTCCTTTTCTTAATTAGTGTATTTAACATTAATGAAAATGTTCTAGGTTAGGTTTTTAGGAGCCTATAAATAGACACTCTTATTTTGTAATGGAGGGAAGACTTTTATTTAGGAGAATTTTTTGTTTTGAGAAGCTACAGATTGTAACCCGAAAGATACAAGAATAAAAAAATCTTTTGATTAAAAGTAATTTTTTTATTTAGTTTTTGGTTCTTGTTACTTTGTTAATTTCGATCTTTTTTTTTTCTTTTTTTTTTCTCTTCTTCTTCTTCAAAAAAAATCGGATGAGAAAGAATAGAGGATCAAGGAGAAAGACTTTTAAATAAAATCTTCATATATTTAACATTCCTTTAAGTTTCTCGATTAAAACCGATAATAAATCTTTAAAAAAATTCATTTATTTTTATGTGTTTTTCATATTGGTACATGTGACCCTTTAGCTTAATGTTTACATATTAGACTCATTTTTTTTATTATAAAACCCTTAATTTATTTTATTTTACGGTAATTAATCCTTAAAAGTAAGCAATTTGGATTAATATTTAAATTTTCACATAAACTTTAATTTTTGCAATTAAGACAACCAAGTAATCGTGTTGGTACCGAAAGAGTAATACGAGGGTGCTATTCTTTCCTCGATTGTAACCGACTCCTGAATCCGATATTTCTCTGATATGATGCAGATCCAGTAAAATGATAAGTTTGAGGTGTCCGATCTACATAATTCGAAAACGATTGGGGTGGCTTCATCACGATTCCAAGTCGAAGTGCGAACCCAGGACCGCCCGAAGGACCATTGCGACAGAACCAAGCTTAACTAGACCAGTGATGCACTGATCAATGGAAGCAATCAAAGAGAAAGATACAGCTCCCCTTAAGAGAATCCAAATCCTTCCATTAATGGCCTTATCATAGTTATAAACCCCGTCACTGAGAAAACTACTTTCTACAAATTCCACCTATACCAACCTCCTTAACCGTAGTCTCCAACAAGTAAACACGGTCAATATGTAACAACCTAATACGAGAGACAATAGCTTTCTGCTTAAATAAACCCCCTAGTATTCCAACTCATCAACTTCATGGAGGAGTAAGAGAAGCCTCCACCTGAAGACCTCTGCTTCACATTTTTCTCCAACTTACTATGCTTCGAGATTTTCAAATTCTGCAATAAAGCTACTACTCCATGAGCAGCAGCTCTTTGCTTCTTGTCCTTCCCCTCAACAACCTTAGCACCAGAAGAGGAAGCTCGATCCAACAAGCTAACCTCTTAACATAAGCCAAAAATAACCGTTGGGTCCCCCTAAAAGCTCCACTGTAGCAGATGAATCAACTAGCACAAACTTACCTCGAGTAACTACACCACCTCCTTCACCATTTCTTTCAGTCAGAAGAACTACAACAAGAATAACTCCATCCTCGATAAGATCCTGCAAAACCTCTATCCCCACCAAAGGAAAACCACCCTCAAAGACCCTAACCCGAAAATCCCCAGCAACGACCTTCTGAATCCAAACCTTCTGATTCAATTTACAAGCTTTCTCAGCATGCCCAAAAGAAAAACACCTAGAACAACGAAGGGGCACCCAAGGAACCTCAACCGTTATAGGAACAATAGACCCATCCCCCAATTGAACCATAATAGATTTAGGGATGACTGCATCAACTCTTAATTCCACACAAACTTTAGCAAAAACAACCCACTGCTTGGAAGCAGTGACACTGTCCATGTGCAAAGGAATCCCTCTCGCACTTACTATATAGCTCACCCCCTTCCTCGTAAAAAGCTCTAAAGGAACCCTACCCAAATGAATCCAAAATGGCATGGAGGTCAAATTGATCTCCAAATTTTGGATATTAGGTGTTCACTTCCTAATGATAACCGGATGATTATGAAAGTGCTAAGGACCATGCTCCAAAACCCATTCCATCATAGCCCTAGTAGAGAATTGGACAAAAAAAAGTAGAATCCTCGTAACTAGGTTTAATCATAGCCCTAGTAGAGAATTGGACAAAAAAAAGTAGAATCCTCGTAACTAGGTTTAAAATCGCGGTCGTATTATCATTTCCTTTGTCGTGTAAGAATCACACAAAACCACGTGGTCTACAAATGCATTTGCTGCACGTCCATCACCCATCTTAATCACCTGCAGGGAAGTAGTTACAAATATTTACTTCTCCACACAAGTTCGTACGTTTGTTGTGTTGATATATATAAATTTATACTCGTGTGTATGTATATGTAGGAGCGTAATAATTTAAATGTAAGCATAAGCTAAATTGCTAAACGAAAAATAACTAGGATTTCATTTATTCTTGATAGCTGCAAGCATTACAAGAGGGAAACAAACAAACTCAATGAGGCAAGCTCATTTGTCACAACTAATATATGCGGACACAATTTATAAAACACACAAAAGAGAGATTAATACACACACAGAACAATGTTGCTGTTGTGTGGTAATTGTTGCCTGTCTCCATCAAGCTTCAACGGTGTACCCATCTTTAACTATAATACCTACTACTATAACACTATTCATCTCAACTTTGATGGCATGACAAACTAATATGCAGCCTAGTAACTGCAAATTCGTCAGCTTTCAGTCAGGCCGCCATATATGAAAAAGAATAACAAATGCTCGAAACCCTTTTCATCTTCAAACTCCGATGACCGTGTCGATACCGTTGCTTAGAGGCATTTTCGATACAAAAAAAGCAAGCCCCGATAACGATGTAGAGCAGTAGGAGAACCAGTCCTTTCATGTAGTGAGAAGTGCCATCCTGCAAATTTGGTAATACAAAATGTTTTAGATTCAATATGTTTTATGCATGGTTCAAAATGAAAGATGATGCTGTTGTTGTTTTACTTGTAAAGTGAAAGCAACACCGATGATGGATAGAGCGAGTGAGCCAGTTTCAAGGAGATTGAAATTAAGATCCATTTTGATTCCCATAATCCAAGCTACGACAATGCAGAGTGGGACCTGAGTCAACAATAACATTGAAATATGTCTAGTTAAACTCAGAAGGCTCCAAATTTTCTTAGTAAACGACAATGAAAGGGTTCAATTATTCTAGTTTTCGTACCACAAACATGGAAATCTGCGTTGCAGACCCTAATGCAACACCTAATGAAATATCCTGCAATATTTGAAATTTCTGTGTCAGCATATTTGATTCATTGATAAAACAGTTGCTGATGATCCCAGTGATATATTTGGTATTTACTCACCAGCTTGTTTTTGAAAGCAAAAATGATGGCTCCAGCATATTCTGTTGCATTTCCAACAATGGGTAGCAGAATAATGCTGATGAAACTAACAGAAATTCCCCAAGAATCCGAGGCATCCTACAATATTTAGTTGATTAATTTTCAATAAACACACTTTTATTAAATGGTTTATAGATTCATTATCAACCACAAAGTTACCTCAATTGTTTCTACAACATATTCAGAGAGGAGAGATATGACAACAGTCATTCCAACTAGCCATATAAATCCACTCCAAAATCCGATCACCGGCTCTTCCTCTGGTATCCCCTCATCGTCTTCCGATTCCTGATCGATCGCATTACAAAGGGTTATTCACCAAAAAATCTACTATAAACTATAGTTTGTTGAGCTTATGACATAAATGAACTACCCCATGAGCTTCAAACAATTGCCGATGTGTGAATAGTTGGAAGACCAGGTACGAAATGTACGCAATCAGCATCACAATGCTGCTCGCCCTCGACAACCGCAGCGTAGGATCGGCCGGGAGAGCAGCGGATGCAACACTCAGTCGGAACAACAAGGGCAACGAATGACACAATAATGCGAGCAAAAGGAGTGAGTTCACATCGGCTTGTCTCTATCGAAATTCAACAGTGTTTTAACACCCAAATAAATAATTTTTTGAACAAATTGAAGATTTGTTAGGTAAGATATAGCATGTTAAAGTTCGACACGTACTCGATCGTATTTTTGTTCCCTTCTGATGTTGGCAATGCCGCCACAGAAGAGAGAGGTCCCAAGGACCAGAAGCAGGTTCGATAGGACAGAACCGAGCAAGGAATACTTAACCACATTTATTTTATTTTGGCTCAGTGCAAATATAGCTATGACCAGCTCGGTTGCATTGCCACAGGTTGTATTCAACAGCCCTCCCACTGCAAAATCAAATCATGATCATTAAGGTTGGCAATCATGAAAAAACATATGTATGTGTTGATAATAAGCAATTTACCTGTTGGACCAGTGTAATAAGCAATTTGCCTGCACAAAAAGGAATTTGTTGGAAATAAAACACTCACACAAACAACTTTTATTGAAACTCAAAGAAATATTATAAGAGCACTCTCACTCAAAAACCAAGAACTACAACTCACTCTTATAAGACTTTGCTTCTTCACTCACTTAGAAGCTCTTAAATTTTCTTGATGCTTAAAACTAAAATGGGGAGTATTTATACTACTCAAGTACAATCCTACACTACATAAATAAACTAATTTAAACCATTACAAATTCAACAAATACATACCTCTCACCTAACTAAATTGATGTAAGCAATGTCATCATTACTTAAATGATGTAAGCAATGACATCAATTTAGTTTGGGTTTGGGTTTAGGCTCCCATAATGGATCAAGTTTATGATCCAACACCCTCCCTTAAACTTGATCTTGTGACCCCTAGTAAGTTCCTTAATCTTATAAAATCTTCACTTTTCAGTGGCTTGGTAAAAATATCGGCAACTTGATCTTGTGACTTCACGTATTCAACTTCCACATCGTTTCTTGCAACACACTCCCTTATATAATGGTAGCGAATGTCGATGTGCTTCCTTCGATCATGGAATACTGGATTCTTTTATAAGGCAATGGCTGATTTGTTGTCGACACAAACCTTGGTAGGCTCTTCTTGTATTAAACCTATCTCTTTCAATAGATTTCTAAGCCAAATTGCATGACAAACACATGAGGTAGCAGCAACATATTTTGCTTCACAAGTGGACAATGTGACAATCGGTTGTTTCTTTGACATCCATGTGAACGCAATATCTCCCATGAAAAATACGAATCCAGTAGTGCTCCTTCGATTATCTATGTCTCCACCCTAATCACTGTCGCTATATCCAACAAGCTTGTAATCATTAGAAACTGAATAGAACAAGCCAAAGTTAATTGTACCTTTCAAATAATGAAGAATTCTCTTTGCGACTTTAAAATGGGTGGTTTTTGGAGATTTCATGTAGCGACTAACCAATCCAACTGCGTGAAGAATATCTCCATCTTGAAGAATGTTGGATCTACACTTTCTCCTTCTTCATGTTTGGTCATCTTGATCCCGTATTCTGCTGGTGTGCTTATTGGCTTACAGTTCTCTATCTTGAACTTCTTCAGTATCTCCTTTGCATAGCTTTCATGTGAAAAGAAAATTCCATCATTTTGTTGCTTAACTTCAATGCCAAGGTAGTACGCCATGAGCCCCATGTCTGTCATCTCGAATTCTTTCATCATCACATCCTTGAATTCATTAAACATGCTTGGGTTGCTTCTGGTGAAGATCAAATCATCCACGTAGAGGCACACGATCAAAATATCTTTATCTTTGATCTTGATATATAGAGCATGCTCGTAGGGACATTTGTTGAAGCCATTCTATTGGAAGTACTTGTCGATTCGGCTATTCCATGCCCTTAGTGCTTGTTTTAGCCCGTAAAGAGACTTCTTCAACTTCAACACCTTGTCTTCGTGCCCTTTGACTTCATAGCCTGATGGTTGCTGAATGTAAACTTCCTCTTCAATAACTCCATTTAGGAAGGCAGACTTTACATCCATCTGTTGTATCTTCCACTTGTTTTGAGCTGCCAAAGAAATGATTAGTCTGATAGTCTCCAATCGAGCAACAGGAGCAAATACCTCATCATAGTCAATTCCAGCCTTTTGGCTATAGCCTTTTGCAACTAGCCTCGCCTTGTGCCTTTCAATCTCTCCTTTGGCGTTTTGCTTTGTTTTGTACACCCATCGCCTTATGTCCCTTGGGAAGTGAGGTAAGTTCCCATGTGTCATTCTTCTCGATGGCCTTGATTTCTTCATCCATCGCATCTCTCCATTTCTTTTCTTGTACCGCTTCTTGAAAGCTCACTGGTTCACAATCGGTAAACAGACAAAATAATGTAAGATTATCTTGTCGTTCAGTTACCTCATAGAGATCTCTAAGGCTTCTTGTGCGTTGTACAACTCTTTCACTTTGACTCCCACTTAACGATGACGAAGGTGATGAGTCTCCTTGAGTGGTTGATATTGGTGAAGTGGGTGGAGTTGCAAGCTCTTATTGAGATTCATCTAGTTGTTCCCTCATTGTTTTCTCATCTTCTTCAAACTGAGGAAAGAAATTGAAGTCATCTGTATGAGAGTTAAAATCCCATTCTCCTTCTTCGTTGAAGACCATATCATGACTAATCACAAACTTCTTATTGTTTGGATTGTACAACTTGTAGCCCTTCGAATTAGCATCATAGTCGATGAAGATAAAACTCTCGCTTTTATCATCAAGCTTCGTTCTTCTCTCGTCTGGTACGTGAAAATGGGCTATACTTCCAAAGGTTCTCAAGTGGGAAATGCCAGGCTTTCTTCCACTCCATGCTTCTTGCGGTATCTTTCCCCATACACTTCTTATTGGAGATCAGTTTGTCAAGTAGATTGCACACGCTACTGCTTCCGCCCAAAATTCCTTGGGTAGTTTCTTGCTTTTGAGCATGATTCGTGCCATGTCGAGGATTGTTCTGTTCTTTCTTTCTGCCACACCATTTTGCTGGGGGGATCTAGGAACTGTCATTGGTCGATGAATTCCATTTGCTTCACAGAACTCTTGAAACTCCCTGGAAGTAAATTCTCCACCTCGATCGGATCTCATGGCTTTGATCTTTTTACTGCTTTCTCTCTCCACTGCTGCTTTGAACTTCTTGAAGACATCAAAAACTTCTGACTTCAGTTTCAAGAAATATACCCAAGTTTTTCTTGAAAAATCATCAATGAAGAGAAGGAAATAGTTACTGTTATCAAGAGAGCTTGGCTTGATCGGTCCACACACATCGGTATGGATAAGCTCAAGTGGCTTCTTGGCTCTTGCTTTTGACTCCTTTGGAAAGCTTTTCCTGAATTGCTTCCCGACTAGACACCCTTCACAAAGCTGGTCAGGATGGTTGATGCGAGGTAGTCCCTTCACCATCTCATTCTTAGATAACAGCTCTAGGCCTCCAAAATTGAGATGCCCAAATCGAAGATGCCAAAGCCATGATGTATCTTTGTAGCAAGCTTTCAGGCACTTTGCAACATCATTTTGTATGTTGATCAAGAACATTCTATTCTTTGACATCGACACTTTAGCAATGAAGTTATTCTTATCATCTTTTATAGAAATATTATAATTATTCATATGAATATCATAACCTTTCTCTACCAGTTGCCCTAAACTTAAGATGTTACTTTTCATATTGGGCACATAGTAGACATTTGAAATAAATTGATGTCTCTCATCTTTCAAACGGATAAGAATGTTACCTCTCCCTTTCACTGCTATTGTGGAATTATCTTCAAACGAAACATTTCCGCTTACTGACTCGTCTAGCTCCACGAACATGTCTTTCCTTCCACACATGTGATTGCTTGCACCACTGTCAAGATACCAGGAATTTACTTGGCCACCATCAGTTTCCTTTCGTGCTATAAGAAGAGTTTCTTTGCCATCTGTCTTTTCTTCCACATAATTGGCATTCTCCTCAATTTTGTTGTTGGGAGCTCTACATTCTGAAGCATAATGCCCAAACTTCTAACAATTATAACATCGAACTTGAGATTTGTCGTGCCTTGAGTTTGGATTGATTCTTCCACTGCCTCGTGTTGAGCTTTCTTCTTTCTCATAGTTGTTGTTGTAATTGTTGTTGTTGTAATTCCAGCCTCGTCCACGACCTCGACTTCCACCTCGTCCATGACCTCTACCTCTGTCTTGGCCACGTTGATTTCTATCATTGCGTTGGCTTTCATGCATATCCTTGAGTTGCAGCTTGAGGAGTTTCTCAGTAAACTCATGCTTCTTCTTATGCTTATCTTCGTATGCTTGTAATGATCCTTGGAGTTGCTCGATCATCATTTCTTCCAAGTCTTTAGTTTCTTCAATCGTCACGATGATGTGCTCAAATTTGGGATCCAACGAACGAAGTATCTTCTCTATTATCCTCACATCTTCTAACTTTTCACCATTTCTTTTTAATTGATTAGAAACATCTACTACTCTTGAGAAATAATCTGAAATAGACTCAGATGCTTTCATGTGTAAGGATTCGAATTCACCTCTTAATGTTTGGAGACGAACCTTCTTCACTTGCTCGGATCCTTTGTAAGAGGTTTACAGCTTCTCCTATGCTTCCTTGCTAGAGCTTGCACTTGAAATCTTTTCAAAACCATCATCATCTAATGCTTAATAGATGAGGTAGAGAGCCTTTTTGTCTCTTTTTCTTGAATCTTTCAAAGTTGTCTTTTGATCTGGTGTAAGAGTAGCAAAAACAACATCATCCACAATCTCGTTATAGTCTTTCTCTATGATATCCCACACATCTTGTGATCCAAGAAGTGCCTTCATTTTGATACTCCAATTGTCGTAGTTGTTGTTGTTGAGTGTCGGAAATTGGAATGGTGTGATACCATTTGCCATATCTCTCAATATAATGAGATTTTGTAAAATCTGATTGCACGGATGAATCCGGAACGCCGAAAAACCTTGGGAAGGACTTAGACAACTCAGTCAATGGGCTCCAACTCAGCTGACTCGGCTCAACTCGGTGAGTCAACTCAATTTTCTGGCAGCAGTCTTCCGGCGGTGCGTGACGGTGCGTCAAAACTCAGATTGAGAAAATTTTGGCGACGTCGGATTCCTCTCGTCGAGACCTTCGATCTTTCCAACTCGCTCTGATGCCACTTTGTTGGAAATAAAACACTCACACAAAAAACTTTTATTGAAACTCAAAGAAATATTACAAGAGCACTATCACTCGAAAACCAAGAATTACAACTCACTCTTATAAGACTTTGCTTCTTCACTCACTTAGAAGCTCTTAATTTTTCTTGATGCTTAAAACTAAAATGGGGAGGGGTATTTATACTACTCAAGTACAATCCTACACCACACAAATAAATTAATTTAAACCATTACAAATTCAACAAATACCTAACTCTCACCTAACTAAATTGATGTAAACAATGACATCATTACTTAAATGATGTAAGCAATGACATCAATTTAATTTAAGTTTAAGTTTAGGCTCCCATAATGGATCAAGTTTATGATCCAACAGAATTATGGTTTATCAAATTGAGTTCTAGTGATCAAGGATCGAAGAATAAAGAGAAAACAATATGAATATGGCTTACTCGGTGAGGAAGCTGACTCGTTCAGCAAATGGTGTAAGTCCAAGTAAACTCAATGCAAAAATCCAAGGCTGTTGATTATTTTAAAGGAAAACTCATAAATGTCAACCCTTGAATCAAGTGGAAAAAATATTCAAATCATATTTGACTTAATTTCGAAATAAGTCAGATTAATATTCACTCACTGTTTCATCAAAAACCAGCTTCCATAAAAAGAGGAAAAAGAAGAGGAAAAAGAAAGAAAGAAACTCACTCTTCCAAAGCCATAGCACTCAGCAACAATGGCCAATGGAATAGCAGGGAAGAGAACCGAAAGTTTTGTCCCCAAAATGACCTCTTGAAGGTTAGTGAGGAACTGCCTAAGCATCACAAAACGAACCTTGGAGACAAGGGTCAAATCCGATTTTTTCCTCAACGAGGAAGACGACATGTTATGTGCAGTTCTTCCATGGCGAATCTCCTTGCTACAACCCTTCCAGTTTCCGTTCTCCCATAGCCATGGTTCTTGAAGGGAAGCCATTTTTTTTGTTTCTTTTGCGAAACTATTTATCTTTGAGACAACAAAAAAACACTACGGAGGACTCTGACAAAAAGGAATTAAAAGACTCGAATTCTATTTGTATGAGTTTCAAGTGTGAGATTTAGACTGTTATAAATAGAGGAGATTGGATGCAGCTTCCACGAAGCTTCTCAAAATAATTTAATTGAGACTCTTATTTAGGGCAAGACACATGGGCTAAGATAACAATGTTAGAGGAATGTTTCAATTGCATGACTGAAGTTTTTACCATATTATATATATTCTTCATGTTGCATTATTGGTATTGTATGGATGAGGGAATAATTAGTGTCAAAATTCTAGTTAACTAATTTTGCTTAGACCTAATCTTTTTTGGTAGTAAAAAGTTTAGCTTAGGGTGACTCTTTAGTCTAGTGTCAGAGTATATCTAAGATTCAATTAAGATTTATATAAGAATTTACTGATTGTCTCCTAAGAGTGGCGGTGATAGAATTCCAATTTGATCTTACAAGCTTAAATTCATGAATCCCAACCAATTGTACCAACACTCATTGACTTGTTTAGACCTAATTTATCAAGCAACCACAATAGTTAACAGAAATATTGTTCTTTTAGAGATTTTAATTTCAAGCGGTTGTATCTACGGATGCGTGTATTGTCATTTATTAAAATAAATACATAATAAATACTATCTTATAATCATCATAAGACTACTCAATAAAAATAAAAACAATATTTAGATCATTCATATTTAAAATAAAACTGATAGGGAGAGTGGAACGGTCACCTTCCTGAAAATTTAAAATTACTATATATTTTAAAAATATTTATTTTTTATTGAAATTCTATTTTCTGCCTTCAAATTTTATAAATTTAAGTTTGTTCCCGTATAAAAGTGTGCGTTTGTTCCTTTGTATGCATATGTAAATGGTAATGTGATGTGAGAATAAATATTGAAAATATAAATAAAAGTGATAATTTTTTATAGGAGTTATGAAGATTTATTTAAATTTTGATTATTAATATCTAATTGGCATTTTAATTGATTTTATTGGTGGTAGATCACTTGATTATTATATATGTTTAAAATAATAAATATTAATTATTTGGAAAAAATCTTAGTATAAAAGATTTTTATGCTTAAGTTTTTCTTTGTAATTAATAATATATTTTATAAATGAAGTGTAAGATTTAATTTTTAGAATTAAGAGAGTTAAGAGTAAGGTAATCTTTTCAGTGATTTTTTTAAATAGTACGATGAGATTATAAAATAATTTTTGTTTATAATTTTTTTAATTTATAACTAATATATATATATATATATATAAATATAATTGTTTAAATTTAATATTTTATCTTTTTATAATTAAAATCACTTTATGAGTTTTATGTGAGAGAATTTGTAATTTTCTCCGTACAAAAGTTATATTTTATTTACTTTTGGTTAAATAAAGCAAGGACAAGGACAGGGCAAAGATGAGGCACGTAAAAGATGTTCAAGAGAAGCATACAAAAATCTTCATAGATTTTCCAGAACCAGAAATCATTCCAATTGTACGATGGGCTTAGACTTCTGGAGTTGGTTGGTAGATGTTCACGTCAACTTTCAATTCATCTTTCGAGCTAATATAATTTTCTTTTACGTGTTGGTAAGCTATCAAATATTTTGGTCTGTCTTTTTTGCGTGTATTTTGACCAATATCAATTATAATTGGAAACCATCGGATTTGATTACAACGTTTGTTGTGCACAGTTCCGTACTGATAATGGACGCTTACGTTATGCATATTGGTTTATATGTATGTCATGTTGAGATATCATTATTTGTATTATATAGTTCTATGAATAAATGATTTAAAATTGAATAAGCATATTTGTTTGATTAACTAAAATATTCATTTTTTTTCTCTCATGTTCTCTTTGGTTACGGATTCTACACCCAGTAAAAGTATTCTCATTCCTTACTTTAGCGTCTTTTATTTCTCTCCCCTCTAAATAAGATAATAATTAGAGTTAGAATTTATAAAAAAAATTAAAATTATAAAAAAATATTTAATTATATATCATTATAAAGGTCAATGAGTGTTGGTACGAGTGGTTGAGACTCAGGAATTTGAGTTTGTAGGGTCAAGTTCGAATCCTATCACCGTCACTCTTGATGGAAAATCTGTAAATTCCTATGTAAATCTCAATTAAGTCTTAAGTATATTCTAACCTTGAACGGGTGAGTCAAACTTTTTTGTATAAAAAAATATATTATTACAAAGATATATAAATTTTCATGAACCACCAAGTAAGATGTTATGTAAATAGAATTAAAAATTTACAATTTTAGTCATTATTTTTTGTTTAAAAATCAGCGATGCGTTGACATGACTTAGGCGTTTATTTGCTTTATTTCCTATGTTGTTTATTTCTTTCCATGTTTACAACAGTGGAACCAGACGTTTTGCTTTATGAATTAATTACTGAAAGTAATCTTAATAGTAAATTTATATAAGATTTGTATGGAATAATTTGTAACCTCATCTATCAAATCATGACTCGTATGCAGTTTCATAGAACGAACATAAATTCATAACGTGTTTTTATCGATAAATCTTCCAATGAGATTTTATAGGAAAGAAGAATGGATAAAACTATAATGACGGATGGTGGCATAGAAGAACTCTAAGAGTTGAATAAATTAGTAGGAATTTGTCTTTATTTATAGAAAAAAAAATAGGATTTTAAAAGTTTTGACTCTCACAAAGTGATCATATGGTAAACATGGATAACACCACAGTTTTTTACTGGACATGCATTTATGATGGATGTCTTTATGTGATATTGTATTTTATGTCTTGTAGTTGTGTTTGATATTGTATCAGATAGCTTTTTTATCAACTTTTATATCAGCTAAATGTCAAATATGGAAGGTGGAAAGAAGTTTCCACCACCTATAAAAATTCTGCAATTCTGTAATTCATCCAATATTTTACACTCCTCAACAAATGATCTCTGGAGAATGCTTTCCATGTGGTAGAGTTGTTTCCTAGGTAAGTAAACATGGTAACATTTGTAACGCATACAATCATTTGAGTCTTTTTTATTACTTATTTATAAATTTTGGTGGGCGTGGTGGGTAGGTATATAGCATTTAATATTATCTTTACATTTTGCAGGAAATTTATTGTTTATATGTTTTTTTAGAATAATAAATAGAGCTAAATTCAGTTAGACTAATCGACTGTATGCGAGTTTAACTGTGGGGTTCAAGTAAGAGAAAACGACTCAAACCCTACACTTGCAGGGAGGTATAGGTTTTTTTAGGGTTTGGAAATGGTATGGCCATTGAAGCACCCACTAGCTTGCTCTCCATGTGAAACAGTGCGTGCATTGAGCAACAGTTTGACGTATAGCTACCCTTTCTTCTTTTAACATGTTAACTTTTAATGAACAAATCGAATTAAACTAAATTTGAATTTAAATGTATTAAATTTGATTAAAATTTGTTTACCGAAATAAATGGATTATGGCGGTTATAGGTTGTTTTATCTCTTTTAGTTTAGACGGAGAATCGTGGTTCTCTGCCTTAATTAGGAGGTAGAAGAGAGATGAATAAAGAATAAGACTCCAATCCACTCTTGGTTTTGGTCTAGAAAATTTAGAGCAACTCTTGATAATGTTGTTAGAGGTAGGATTATTAATTTATTATAGCTACATGCAGAGGCTCAATAAATATAGTCATTTGATAATAAATTTAGCTCTGATAAGTAACAGAGACTTATCAAAGGTACGCTAAGAGTACGTTACTTTTCGAAGGGTGTTGCATATTCAAGGTCTTTCTTTTAAAGATGTTTTTTTCTGAGCTTTTCAAGTCCATAAAATATAAAAAATACTTGAGATTCAAGAAAACTCTGTAATTCTGCTAAAGTCTTGAATGAAGATCAACCCTGTGAAGGAGCTCCAATAAAGATACAATAGAATTCAAGTTCAACATAGCTAGTTGAACGGACATTATTTCAGTAGTCGATTTAATCGTTAAATTAATTTTTGTTCCTAGGGGAGGATATGGAAATTTTCATAATCAAGGTTGATATGGGGTGATTTTTGGTGCAAATACCCATTGGTTATGGGCAAGAGGCATGGAGGCAAATTGGTGCAGGAAAATCAGCTACTGAACAGTTGTTGTCTCCATTAATATTTGGAAATGCTAATCTGCTCCTTGTCCGTTCCTTACATATTCCCCAAGATTTTGACCCCACAAGCATGTGCTATGAGAGCTTCCTCGAAGTTTCCTCTCCATCACACTCAAATCTCAGCATTCGTTTCATGCAAATAATGGAGCTATTCCATAATAATGTTACCAACTTGGACAAGGCTTGTCCGAGATTGAATTTATTTCTTTTATTTTCAAAAAGGGAATTATTTTGTGTACCGAAACTAGTGGTTGTGATTTCATGATAATAATTTTGGGTGTACAACAATGATAGGGAAGCGTGATGGCAAGTGCAGTTTTCTGGAAGTTTCATATCTGATATCTACACATCTCTTGAAAAGGGCAAAACAAATATCTCAACAGATTTGTCATTTTTATACAGAAAGTTCGATGAGAAATTTACGATAACGTAGAAGAGAATTTCGTTTTATTTTCGAGGATTTAAATTTTAACAGTTGCATTTATAAAGTGAAATTAACATAGGATTTCGAACGCGCGAGAGCCTGCTGCATTGTCTTCTAGGGAAAGCATTCTTAAGAGGAAAGTTGGAACTTGCCGCTAGGTTTTTTTCCTTCTCCATCCCTGACAAATTCGAAAACAAGAACAGAATCAGACCTTGGAATACAGGAAGCAGGCATGAGCAATTTACTCGAAGACTGGAACGGAGAAAAGAAAAGGTAACTGAAAACTTACAAAGGCAATATAATACACGCAGGTCAATGCTGCTAAAACAATGAATGCGATTTGAAATACGTTATACCTGAATGCAAATAGGCCCAAAAATGTTAATGCATGCCTCATCTGAATAAAACTTGGAATTCAAATGGTTTAAAAACTCACTTATACAAATATTTAATCCCACGAAGAGACTCCAATGTGTGGCCGAATATTTCCTGGGCAGCGGTTGCTTGAGCATAGTACGCATATGCGGTGGAACAGAATTGTATGACACTGTAATTGCAAATGCGGATAAGATTTCATCAAATACTGTACAATGCATGATTCCCTTGATACAATTTTCAACAACCAAGCACAAGCCTAAAAATTCAACGTGTTCTATTAAGAGATACCTCGAGATAACATAGAAATAAGAATGAATACATTAGCTAAGTCACCAACCTTATTGAGCACAAAAGAATAAGTCCCACATTGAACAGAAAAGAGTTCATTAAAGTAGCTCCCCACCTACAAAAATGACCAGTAAATATATGTCAGCCAGCTAATCCTTTTCTCAGCAATAATTAATCAAAAGGCGGTCAACATAAGATACATTACTTCATAGGGTGAATTGTAATGAAAACTAATTTGAGACCAAGCATCATTGCACCAGCAATCACAGCAAGCAGAAGGTAGAAGCAAAAGAATGCAAATGAACCGTACCCAGAAGGCCTGAAAAGAGGGAAAACATAGATCACCCATAATTCATATATTTTAGATACCTTTTCTACTTGAGGATACATCTCTTCCAAAAGTTCTACATCTTCTTCTAGCTGAAGCAACTCCTGCAGATTTAATCAAGAATGTAAATAGCCACAAGTACATAACAATAAGAAATATGTGGAAACATCAAGTGAAAACTACTTTTATCACTCTAATGAGTGTTAAAAATTGCATGCATTTATTGTCATTTACTCCTTGTTTTCAATTGAATATTACTGATTTATTTCAGTTTTGGCTTAATTTTCGCCCAAGGACTTCATTTGGATTTAATCGGCTAGAACAAACTGTAAAAAAGGTAGAATCTGTAATTTTTCTGGGAGTCGTGGATGCAGTCATGGCACGACCTGAGGCATAACATTTTCTGACAAGTAATATCTTCAAGATTTAATTTCAAATTATTTTTGAAGATAAATGCTTGGAAGATAAGTAGGAAGTTATCCATAAGATAAAGTAGAATTCAATCAAAGCCACAAAATTTAAATGTTTAACTTCATCTTTGTGATAAACCTTTGTTTTTTAGGATTTTAATTTGAATATTTTACATTTATCTTTATTTTTTATTTAGAATTTTAGTTGTTTATTTCATATGGATTCTCGAGAATAAATACCCCTTAGGTTCAAGCTTTGAACATAGATTGGATTTGTAATTTTCAATGGTTTGATTTGAAGTTCTATTTTCTTTTCTTGTATTATCTTTATTTTACTTTTCCACAATAAAATGCTAAGCATTATCTAATTCAAACTTACCTAAACTTTCACTTGGCCAAAGATTTTTACGACAGCTCAATTCTTCGGTTCTCTAGAAACTAGGAGTGGCAATCGACCATTCCTTTAAAGTCACGACACATTCACTTCAAAAAGATGTCATTGATTAGAATGTTGTTTTGATTTACTACTGGGAAGATGAATCGGTTGGTCGTAATTCAACTTCCTATGAACAAACTTAGCGACGGTTCGTTAAGAGAAATTAAGATCGAGTTCAATTCTCGGTGAGACGCTATAATCCGAGTCGGGCTTTTCCAGCACTTAAAGATTTGTCTTGGTGCTAATGGCGACATAAGTGGTTAGTCCAACAAGGACTGAATTTCGAAGATAGACTTGGAAATATCAGTTATCGGAGAGAAAGGTTAGCTGCAAGAGTTTGGTTTTGTTGACTGTAACCAGAGTGCATCTAGAAGAGAATTTATTTCGGTGATTGATCGAAATTGAGGCTAAGCAGAGCCTAAGGCTAAATCATCTCAATCTAATTTTTTACTTTTATTTACTCTTCATCATTATTTCGTTTACTATTTCTTTTTATTTTATTATTTTTGTTATTTTCTAAAATCCCTCCTTTATTTTCGTAGTTGATTCAATCCCGGAAACAACATCATCAAGCTTCCTTACTCCCTATGAATCGATCCTATTTCTCTATAATATCTTATTTATTAATTTATTTGAGAAATAATAATTTTTTTTATGAGTTCGACGCTCGTCGCACTCATACCCCTAAAACCCAATATTCACTTCAACTCTTACCAAGCAACCACTAAAAACACTACCACGAAGTAATACCGTGATATTTCAACCTTAAAGGGGAACTTAATAAACAGATAACAGTAATAGTAGAGGGGCCTACAACTCATGACTAAAGTTAGTTTGGAAAAAGTAGTTATTCTCATAGAGACTGAAAAAATAAATAGATTTAGGAGATAAATGTAAGTGTAGGATGTCAATAACATACCTTTCCCACAGCCTTAACATTTTTACGCCACTTTCTACCCTTAGAACCACTTTTTTTCTTCCTGGCGAAGGCCATCAGCTGCTTTCTTCACTTCTCTCATAGGCAAAGCTCTTTCATAGGCAAGGTTAGATTACACGCGCCATTGTATATCGCGTGCAGACACGCCTGCCGGTTGGCGATATCAGCCGGCAACATGAGTATGGAAATGGCAGCGATGAAAAGACCAAAAACGACAACGAATTTGGGGTAATACGCTTGGTTGGCGTTTTCTGAGTGCTGGTAATTGATAAGGAGGTAGACATTGTACAACAACACTAACACACATACGACTAACAAAAATCAGTTACAAGTACCGAACCAGGCTGTCTCCAATGAAACAAGAAGCATTGTTGTTGGTTTGATCAACCGAATGAGTAAACAAAAATCCCATTTCTTCCTCAATTATTTAATATTTACGCTCTAACTGACTAACTCGAACGTCCCAAATACAGGACAAACCAGCTCAATTCTGAGTTTAGTTTCCTTATGTTTAAGGATAAACTACAAGTTCCATCACTTAACTTTAACATCACTTCTGTTTTCGTTTCAAAAAATTGTTAAAAGTCAAATAATTTAGGCACCAAATTAGGTACCAAATGGTGCTTCGTCAAAGTAAAAAATTAGGCACCTAATTTTTGTTGAAATTGGTTAATGGGATAATTAATTTTAGTCACTGTAATTTAGGGTATTTATAAGATTAGTCCTTAAGTTTCAACTATAAATACCCTAGCTCATATAGCTTCAAAATCATTCCAAAGCATTCTAGTTTTCTTCCAATACTAGAGAGATTTTAGAGAGTTTCTTGAGAGTTGTTTTCTCATTTTTTATCTAGAGAGAATTATCATTGTTTTCTCATTGGTAGATCGAGAGAGGTTGTAATTCCTATTTTCTTATAATGAAATTCTTCTATCGTTGCCCGTGATTTTTATCCTAAATTTTTAGGGGTTTTCCACGTAAATTTTGTGTCTCTTTTATCTTCATTTTTATTTTCTCAAATTATCAGTTACGATTTTGCTCTATCCGATAGTCGTCTTCCGCAACAATTGGTATCAGAGCTAGATTAGAGTGTGTAATATCTGCTTATTGTCTTTGTGGTTGCCACTAAAAGGTGGATCCTCCAACATAAGAAAATAAGAAGTTATTAAGGTTCCAGAGAACTATTTACGATAGTGAAATAGTGGGAGCTATCCGTAAACGAAGCAATGGCAACGAAATTTGATATTGAAAAGTTCAATGGGAGAAATTTCTCATTGTGGAAATTGAAGATGAAAGCCATCCTGAGGAAAGACGGTTGTCTAGAAGCTATCAGCGAAAGGCCAGTAGATTTCACAGACGACAACAAATGGATCGAAATGGACGGAAATGCTATGGCAAACTTTCATCTAGCATTAGCAGATGAAGTATTGTCAAGTATCGAGGAGAAGAAGACAGCTAAGGAGATATGGGATCATCTCACCAAACTGTACGAGGCCACATCATTGCACAATAAAATTTTCCTTAAGAGAAAATTGTACACTCTCCGTATGCCAGAATCTACTTTAGTGACGGAGCACTTAAATACACTGAACACTTTGTTTTCTCAGCTTACATCCTTAAGCTGTAAAATAGGAGAACAAGAACGTGCTGAACTTCTACTTCAAAGTCTACCAGATTCATATGATCAACTCATTATCAACTTGACAAACAGTAATGTCACCAGTCTAGTCTTCGATGACGTTGCAGCTGCTGTTCTACAAGAAGAAAATCGGCGTAAGAACAAGGAAGACATACAAGTAAATCTGCAACAAGCAGAAGCGTTGACAACGATGACAACGATGAGAGGGAGATCAACAGAACGTGGCCAAAGCAGCAGTCACAAACATGGTAGATCGAAGTCGAGAAGCAAGAAGAATTTAAAGTGTTACAACTGTGGAAAGAAGGGTCACTTGAAGAATGATTGTTGGAGTCTAAATAAAAACTCCAATCCACAAGGCAATACCGCAAACACTTCAGATGATGGAGATGCTCTATGTTATAAAGCGTCAACCACCGTGGAAGAAAGAAAACGATTTGCAGATATATGGCTCATTGATTCGGGAGCAACATATCCCATGACCTCAAGAAGAGAATGGTTCCATCATTATGAACCTGTCTTAGGAGGATCTGTGTATAGTTGCAATGATCATGCCTTAGAGATCGTTGGCGTGGGAACCATCAAATTGAAGATGTATGATGGAACAATTAAAGTTGTTCGAGATGTGCGGCACGTAAAAGGTCTGAAGAAAAATTTATTATCATACGGACTGTTGGATAATAATGCTAGCAAGATTGAAACACGGAAAGGAATCATGAAGGTGTTCCGTGGAGCGCTTGTGGTGCTGAAAGGTGAAAAGATAGCTGCAAACTTGTACATGCTGAAGGGAGAGACATTGCTAGAAGGAGAAGCCTCTGTTGCCTCATGTAGTTCAGATTCTGCAATGCTATGGCATAAGAAACTTGGACACATGTCAGAACAAGGAATGAAAGTCCTTGTGGAGAAAAAACTACTTCCAGACTTAACAAAGGTATCACTTACTTTATGTGAGCATTGCATAACAAGTAAGCAGCACCGGTTGAAATTCAACACATCAAATTCTAGAGGCAAAAGTGTTCTAGAACTGGTTCACTCTGACGTATGGAAAGCACCAGTTACATCCCTAGGCGGAGCAAAAATATTTTGTCTCATTTATTGATGACTACTCCAGGAGATGTTGGGTGTACCCTATTAAGAAGAAGTCCGATGTGTTTTCAACTTTCAAAAACTTCAAAGCGCGGGTGGAACTTGATTCTGGAAATAAAATCAAGTGTTTCAGAACAGATAATGGATGAGAATACACAAGTGAAGAATTTGATGACTTTTGCAGGAAATAAGGCATCAAAAGACAGTTCACAGTGGCGAACACTTCTCAACAAAATGGAGTGTCAGAGCGGATGAACAAAAACCTTGTTAGAAAGAACAAGAGCAATGTCGAGGGATGCAGGCCTAGAAAAATCATTCTGGGCAGAAGCAGTCAATACCGCCTGTTATTTGGTGAATCGAGCTCCATCAACTGCAATAGAGCTGAAAACACCAATGAAGATGTGGACTGGAAAACCAGCTGATTATTCAAACCTCCATATATTTGGAAGTATAGTGTACGTGATGTACAA